ACTTAAGAAAATCCTCTATATTAAGGCTCACTAACTGTTTTTATCCCTTAGCTTCACATTGCCTCTTAAATGTCAACTCTGTCATTTTCAATCGAATTATGTTGACTAAGGACATGATAGGTTGTTATCGTGCCTCTAACACCCATGCATTAAATGACTCTGCAAGATTAGATGTAAACTTATCATGTCGTCTACCCTTGAATAGAGAATTTGCCCAATGTGGCGGATCACTATCCAGTATCCAACCATAGATATCCAAATTCTGATTATGTATTTTACTGAGATAGAGATCAAACTTCACGGTATCCCTTGTATAAATTAATTGATTCACATAATCCTCGATTACCTCTTTTTTAGCCTTTAATAAGCGTAGACGGCGCATGCATCCCTTAAGGTTCTCCATCAAATGTCTTGAACAAAAAGCATGATATTCAGAGTCAAACACAATTTCTACTGCATGTCGAATGCTAGTGTTACGGTCAGAAACAATTACTACCTTTCGATCATCATTCAATTTAATTTTCAAATTCTCTAAAAACCAAGTCCAATCTGGAATTGACTTAGATGAAACAACTGCGAACGCAACTGGAAACCTTTGATTATTCGCATCATATGCATTGGTAGCTAATAATTGACCTTGATAGTTACCCTTTAAATGGGCCGCATCAATGAATAGCATTGGACAACAACCAACTCGAAAGCCATGTAAGGATGAGTTGAAAGCAACAAATAATTGATTAAACATACCTGAATCATCAACGGTAAAGGTAGCAACTGCTCCTGGATTAGTCTCAACCAACTTTTTGCACAACCAAGGAATAAGCTTATATGAATCATTTGCAAACCCATTAAGCAAAATCTTTAGCTCTCTTTCCCCTGCCATGTTTGTTTATGAGTCAGTGAAATGGCATGATCACAACTAAAATCCTTTATTATATCTGATGGAAGATACTTAAGAGAATCACGAATCTTTTCCAACAAAACAACACTTATGAATTTATTTGATATACGAAATTGACAACTTGATTCATTACCATCTGAATGTGTATGTACGAGACTATACTTATACACCCTGTATGTTGGCCCGCCACTAACTGCACTTGCTCGCATTTCCCATCCACAAGTGTTGACAGCACATCTACATTGTATGTATTCTCTACCATTCTTTAGAAACTTATATGCAAATCTTCTAGCAATGGAAAATTTATTTAGTGCATCCCAAAAATCATCTCCACTGTCAAATGTTTGCCCCACTCCAATTATCTCATGCTCCCAAACTGCTAACAAATTGGCATGATTGCAGATGTTAAGATCACTTGTTGATTGTCTAGAAGATGTTGCCAAATCATGTACAATATGTGCATGAGGAGACTTGGCTGAGTTTCAACATTAATTTGCTCTATGCCCTTCCAAAACACATGCACCTTTGCACTCTCATTATTAAACTCCAACAGATTTGAAAGGTCATGTGGCCCATTTAATGGCAAGAAGAATGTTTTGTATAATGTAAGCTCACGCTATTAGCATGAACCTTCAAACCACCACACACTTCATCAACAAATTCATTAAAATCTGTTTGACTGTCAACACGAACCCCAATTATATTATCCTCAAAAGTGCAATAATATAATAAGATCTTGCGTGGAGTTATTGCCATTTCTACACAATAAACAATATGAAAACCTTGTCATAAATCAGAATAAAGACATGAACATATAAATTTAAATAAAGAGGCTATGCGATCTTGTAAATATTACGAATTGTGTATCTAATTTTATCACTGTGAATTATTCAACCCATATTAATCTTTTATCCCATTTAAATAAAGACATGAATATACTCTGCATTTCAGCATTTGTTTTTTTTCAAATATGATTTCTAAGGTAGATAATTTATAAATTTGAAAGGAAAAGCACTATCATCATTTCTTTCATTTCTTTAATATATAATTTATACATACTCTGTATTTCACCATTTACACTCTCTTTAATATATAATTTATACATACTCTGTACCATGTGACAATAAAAGAATGTTTAGAAGACAAACAATATCTTTTGACTTTTGAAAACAAACAATAAAGACATCCGAAAGCCTTTGGAAACAAACAATGTCTTTTGACAATAAAATAATACCTTGGTTTGTATTATCGGACAGCGATGGATGTTCTTTGGAGAAAAAAAATTATCAGATTTTGCCAGAGACTGGGCCAAATGTACCAACCTGGTAAGCATCATCTAACTTGGTAAAATTTTACCAGGATAGAATTAAAATGACAATTTGAAATATAATGGCATGCAAAAGCCATAGAAAAGAAGCAAGATCTTGTAACAATAAAAGAATATTTTGGTTTGTTGCTTGGGCTGCGATAGAGGTTGTTTAGAGAAAATATGATAAGATTTTTCCATTCGATTCTACGGGTATTAGTATGGGATCCATGAGATTAAGGTTGAACTTTTGGAATTCTTTATGGATTATCACCATCCTAATGTATTTTCTCCTAATGAATTTTATCTTATTCTTCAACAAAAAAAAAAACAAATCTTATTGGCCCCTTGGCAAATAAGGTGCAAAATGTGCCAACCCAATAACCATCACCTAACTTGGTAAAAATTTACCAAGATAGAGTTAAAATGACTATTTTTAATATAAAGACATCCGAAAGCCTTTGGAAACAAATAATGTCTTTTGACAACAAAATAATACATTGGTTTGTATTATCGGACTGTGATGGAGGTTCTTTGGAGAAAAAAGATTATCAGATTTTGCCATTCAGTTCTAGGGGTATTAGTATGGGACCAGTGAGATCAAAATTGGGTGATGACTTATCACCTTGCTAATGTGTTCTTTTTCCTAATGAATTTTATGTTATTCTTCAAAAAAATCTACATAACCCCTTGGAAAATGTAGAGAAAAATGTGCCAACTTGGTAAGCATCATCTAACTTGGTAAAAAATTATCAAGATGCAATTAAAATGACAAATTTTAACATAAGGAGCTGCAAAAGTCATTGCAAACAAGGATTATCAGTTGGCAATAAAGGAATATCTCAATTCGTTTTAACATAAGGAGCTACAAAACCCATTAATCATCATCTTTGATATTATTTCATTTACTTTGTGGAAAATCTAGGTCGAAGAAATGATTGAGCTTAAGAGTTGCTGCTTAATCCAAGCCATTGAATATATTTGTATGAGAGGGCCATTAGCGGTGCACTGGTAATGTCCAAGAATGCCAGGCAAGATAATGTTGGTTTCAGTTTTGTCCAAAACTGCCAAAGATTAGGACTTAATTCCGGATTGCCAATCCTTGGGATCATTGTAAGGTAAAGTCCCTTTATTGGATGATTGGATAAGAACTTATGTCTGGAATACGAAAACCAGGATTCAATTCAATGTAATATACACTGCAGTACTCTCTCTTATTTAGTTCTCTTGTGACAATAAATGAATATTTTGGTTTGTTTCTTGGACTGTGATAGAGGTTGTTTAGAGAAAATATGATAAGATTTTGTCATTCGGTTCTACAGGTATTAGTATGGGATTTGTGAGATCAAAGTTAGGCTTTTGGAAATTTTTATGGATTTTCACCATCCTAATGTATTTTTTCCTAATGAATTTTATCTTATTTTTCAACAAAAAAAAAACAAATCTTATTGGCCCCTTGGCAAATAAACTGTGAAATGTGCCAACCTAGTAACCATCACCTAATTACTATCTTTGATTTGAGGACATTCAACGTACAAACTAATGTTTCTCATTAACTAAATTTGGCTCTTTATAAGAGGAATTTGAATAGCATGCTGAGAAGGCAAACACCCTCCTAGAGTCTACAACAAAACAATATGTGATTATTAATGTTTGTTATGAGTGATTATCACTAAACTATCATCTTAATTTTGGAGAGACATTTTTATAACCAAAGTAAATTGACCCTCCATACAATAAATTTTACAAACACACACTTGCTTGATATTCTTTTCCATGTGTAAACTAATGTATACTCGTTCTCCAATGCACATTCAACAGGAATGAATCAACATCAAACACAACTTAACAATTTTTTTTTTATATAAAAACAACAACCTATTTACTGTGATAGAAATGTAAAGAGAACAAAAAATCAAATTTATTTGAAATGACTTTTTGATTGAGTATAACAAATTAAAATATCATATAAAGAGATTGTCAAAATACCTGTTAGTGGCACAAGTGTTCAAAATGATAATTTCCTCCGGTTAGGGAAGGCCTCTGGTTAAGATGGGCCTTCACTTGGTATAAATTGAGACAGGAATAGAAGTGAAAAAATCACAATGCTACCTAAAAATTTATAGGTAGAGGGAGAACGAGACAAAGGGAGAGCAGGAGAGCGATAGATGGGAGGGGAGACTGGGAGAGAGAGAGAGAGAGAGAATGGGGGCAAAAAGGGGGAGCAAGACTGAGGGGGGCGAGAACGGGAGAAAGTGGGGGCGACAGAGGGAGAGCAGGAGAGCGATAGAGGGGGAGGGAGCCCGGGAGAGAGAGAGAGAGAATGGCGGCGAGACAGAGGGAGAACGAGAGAGACTGATAAAGGGAGAGCGAGGAGGGAGAACAAGAGAGAGGGAGAGCAACCGAAGTTCAGTCATCTGCAGTCGAAGAGAAGAGAGTTGCGAGTGTGAGAGAACGAAAGAGAGAGAGAACAGGGAGGGCGGGAGAGAACAATGATCGTGGGCCTTAAGAGGATCATTTTAGTCTTTGCAATTTAAGGATAAATTTCAAAATAAAATTTTAAATAAATGTTATTGTGACATGTAATCGAAGTTGGATTGCCACATCACATGAAAAGCTTAAGTAGAAGTGTGATGCTTACATGGCATGGCTTATAATTTCAAAAGTTGAATTAGAGAGTAATTGTAGATTCTGTATGGGCCGGCCTGGTGTTCAGATTTCTACAAAGGGCCTTCTCGTATTTTCCGAAAAAAACCTTAAACCTTCTTATTCTCTTTCCTTGGAGTTCGCTAAAACCCTAACTATTTATAGATTTTGAGCTTCTATTCTCATGATTCAACTCATGCGTATCTTATGACCAGAAAAGTTCTGGAATTCTTCAGTGGACTAAGAAGAAACGCAAGATTTCCTGATTCATGGACTTGCAACAAGTTGCTTCACCAGATCATCACCTCGAACTGCGGCGATTTATCTTTGAAGATTCTGTTCGATATGATCTCCAGAGGATATACTCCTCATCTCTCTTCCTGCAATTCGATAGTCGGGTTGTTCTGCAAAATGGGTAATCTGAAATCGGCTGAATGGCTTATGAAATTGATGCCAAGTATCCGTTGTGTCCCCGATATTGTTAGTTACAACTGTTTAGTTGATGGGTACTCTCGCGTTGGGGATTTAGAGGGAGCTTCTTTGATCATGAACCGGATTCGAAGAGGTGGGTGTAAGCCTGACTTGGTTACTTTTAACATTTTTATTAATGGGTTCTGTAAACTTGGAATGCAGAAAGAGGCTTTTGTTTATCTGGGTTTAATGTGGAAATGCTACTTACCAAGTGTGACTACTTATAGTACATTGATTGATATGTTCTGTAAATTAGGGAATTTAGATATGGGCTATGCAGTGTTTAGGGATATGACTAATTCCGAAATATCTCCCAATTTGGTTACTTTTACATGTTTAATTGATGGGCATTGCAAAAATGGCAGTTTGGAAATTGCATTTGAGTTGTATGAGAAAATGTTCAAGTTGTCACTTACTCCAAATGTTGTTACTTACACTGCAATGATTGATGGACTTTGTAAGTGTGGGATGCTAGAAAGAGCTGATCGTTTGTTTGAAAGGATGTTGGAGGATGGTATTCGACCCAATCCAGCAACTTATACCTCGATGATAGATGGACACTTCAAGAAAGGGAGTATGGATTCAGCCATGAAATATGTAGCCCGGATGCATGAACAGGGGATTAGACTTGATGTAGCAGCATATGGAGTAGTCATCTGGGGCATGTGCAGTAAGGGTCGGTTGGGTGATGCAATAGAGATTAAGGAAAAGATGGAGAGGAAAGGGTTGAAACCAGATGAGATAATTCTAACCACATTTATAGATGCATATTTTAAATGTGGGAATGTGAAAGCAGCATTAGATATATATAGGGAAATGGTGGATCGGGGATTTGATCTGGATGTTGTAACTGCTTCAACATTGATGGATGGGCTATCCAAGCAAGGTTTTTTCCAAGAAGCAAGAGGATATTTCAGCAAAGAGAAGGCAAACAAAATTACATACACTGTGCTAATTGATGGGCTGTGCAAGCAAGGGAATTTAGATGAAGTGGAGGTGGTCTTTAGAGAGATGTCAGAGGCAGGATTCCTTCCGGACAAATATACATACACTTCTTGGATTGCTGAGCTCTGCAAGCAAGGGAATTTGGTGGAAGCATTTAGGCTAAAGAACATAATGGTTCAAAAGGGTATTAGTCCTGATCTATTCACTTTTAGCTCCCTTATTTGGGGTTTGGCTAATAAGGGGCTAATGATTGAAGCAAAACAGGTGTTTGAGGACATGCTGAAAAGAGGAATAATTCCTGACTTGGCTGTTTGTCAGGTTCTTATCAAGGGATACCTGAAGGAAAATAATAAGGCTGCAATTTCAGGCCTGTATGATGAGATGAGAAAGAGAGGAGTTAAAGTAACAAAAGCTGTAGATGAAGCTGAATGATTGTGACACCAGAACTGGAAGTTGGAGGTTTTTCACTACCTGAATCCTCTTTGAAGATCTTTGGTTGAGGCTACCTTATGAGTTATCTCCTTCACATTAAAAGATCATAAAACTATTAAAATACAATGTTGATTCCTCCCAGGTTATATTCCAAATTTAAGGTCTTATGTTCTTTTTTGTTTTATTTTCATCTAAGCATTAAACCGTTATTAGGTGTCTGACTAGTTTTCATTTGTCACAGGATATGAATTGGATCTTCAGTTTGGACTTTTTGATGGACTGGTCTGAGTGTTACTACAGTTCTGGTGAGAAAAAAGAGGTGATGCTCATGTCTCTTCACTTGTCTATTTGATATGATAATTATGTGGTATTGGATAAAGCTATTAAGTATGAAGATGAACAACATATCCTTGAATTTTGGTCAGCATAATGTCTTATTTTTCTATGAGATGCCAAGATATGTAGTGGTGAAGTCTCTGGAAATTTTATTTGTAATCCCTGTATATATTTTGATCATAAGATATCCATATGTATTCTTTTATTTTTACGTACTCAGTTTCATATTTCTTTTGAAACTTTGTTTGTATGCTTATAAACACTCAATAAGACTTCACCAAAAAAATCCAAAGTTATTGTTAAACAGTGGATTAGGAGATCTCAAGTGTATTTGGGGATTATATCTGTGATTGGTGAATGAATTGTAAATCTGAATAATTAGATTTTGGGTTAGGTATCATTGCTACTTGCTAGCCTAAATTATGGTTTGTAAAGCATGTATTATATTATATAATACACTTCCTTTAATAATAAAAGTTTCAGTTACTAATAAGAAAAAAGAGTAATGGTGCTTTATTGATATTCTATTTATGTTACACCTGCACCAAAAGATCAAATCCTTTGAATTTAGAACTATTGGTGTGTGTAAATTCATATATGCAAATGTTAATAGACATGATGGGTTTGGGTTGTGTTGATGATTGGTGTGGCTCAGTAATTCAACAATCCACAAATTGCTCCACACCTTTCATCTTGCTGAAATTTAGGGATCATGTTCCCATTTTCTTCTCTATAAAAGGAGCTTCCAGGGAGAGATCAAATGGTGTGGTGAGCATCAGAGAGCTCTTATATGGAGAGAGTAAAATTGAGAGAGCCACAGTTTTTTGAGTGATAAACGCATTGTCCCTTTTATTGATCGGTGTTTATTAGTAGTGCGTCAAGGCTTCGTTAAAAGCATCTCGGCACTATTAAGGTGGCCAGTTTGTAGTACTCTCATCAAGGGCATCAATAAAACAAGTTCTCCCTCTCCCGTGGATGTAGGTCACTTTGACCGAACCACGCAAATCTGGTGTCATCTTTACCTTCCGCTTTTGCTTTTATGATATGCTTTATAATTCGCATATTTCTCAATTGTTTTTTGAGTTTGCTTCCTGATCGCCATACTAATTAATCGGTAATTCGGAGTATTAATCCTAACAGGTTGGATTGGGTTGCTTAAGGGCTCAACCCTAACCCCAACCTGACCTTCAATCTAACCCAACTTTTTTTCTGAATACAAAGTAGATGCTACAAGTGTCAATACTGGTGTTAATACCTTCTCACATACTTTTGAAAGTTGATCTACCCTGGCCAATCTAGTGATACCCCAACCTGCTAATTTTTTTTGATCAATACCCCAACCTGCTAATTACTACAATAAATTGCATGGTGCCAACTTTCCTGAATGAAGTAGTCAGTAAAAATATATATTGAAAGATGAGGGAAGCTGGTCTGTCTCATTAGAAAAACTAAAGCATCTGTTGTCAAGGATCTATGTTATAACAAATGGGAGGAGTATTTGACCATGATGCCTTTGGATACTTGTTTCATGTAAAAATGGATTAGTTGGTATTTCTTATTTTTGGGTTTTGCCACTAAGATTTGGAAAAGAGCTATTAAGACATAATTATGACAAATATATGTTGTTAGGATTTACCTATTGCACAAATAAGTTACTACTTTTTTGTTGCCAGTAAGGGTGAGCATATTCTAGTTGAGACTAAAAAACTGAACCAAAAATTTTGGTTTCTTGTTTTTTTGGTTGAGTTATTTTGGTTTTAGGATATTTTGGTTATGGGTTTTAGTTCTCAAATTTGAAAATTTGGTTAACCAAAAAGGCAAAAAAAAATGACTAAACTGAATTTCATTGTGGAATAATATATAATGAAATTCGGCTTGGTTATTTCAGTATCTCCTTAATTCGGTTTTGATTTTTATTTTTTTTAACCAAATAAACCAAACGCTCACCCCTAGTTGCCGGGGGGAGAGGGAGCAAAGCTTTTCTTACTAAATCTCAAATTACCTAAGTGGTAAGAGCTTGATCACTATTAAGTTGTTGCTTAGAAGGATCCAGGAGATGCTAAGTGGCACTATACTCTCAATGAACAAAATTGGGCGTTTGAATTTCTGAGTATGAAATAAATGTTTGGAATGAGGTGGAACACTTAGTCTTTAAGTGGTGTTTGGTAAATCTGAAGTCTGAAGTCTGAAAAGCAAAAGAAAAAACCTTTGAAAAATTGTGAAAGTAATCTGTGGAAAATTTGCTTTTCTACTTTTGCAGGTGTTTGAATGTAGTGGAGTTCGACAATCTCAATGTTGTGATGTCTGAAAATTTTGCATTTTACAAATTTACCTCTGAAATTGTTATTTAAATAACAACAAATGAAAATGATTAAAAATATAAAAACAAAATTTTAAGAAATGATAAAATAAAGAAATTAAAAATAATAATAAATAATATTAATAAAAATTAAGCAATAATGTTAAAAAATATTAAATAGTAAAAATTGTTATAAAATAAAATAAAATGTTAAAAATAATAAAAAGATTAATAAAATATAAAATATTATATAATATTATCACTAGTCATTATTTTCCTTTGAACACCATCATCTAACAAGCAGAGTGACTACTGGTGCCCCCATTTCTCCTCTCCTTCTAGTACCACCAAGGACTGAATATAAATCTATGTGATAAGAGAACAACAGCAAGATTGATCACCACCCCATCCCACTGAACTCAGTTAGTAATGTCACTACTGTCCATTGACTGCTGCAACCCAAACCCACTGAAACAGAGCACCATCATCAACTCCTCTGTTCATCGACAGTGAGGAAGAGATGAGGGAGCACAAGCACCATACTCACTGGCATCTCCATTGTTCAAACCGGTTGGGTAGTTTCAGGTTTTTCAAATTAATAAAGGGGCAAGGGCGAAACCATCTCTTGTCCGCAACCTCCGAATGTGCTCAGAGGTAGTTTGAGTGCTTGACTACTGAACATTTGAGAGGCCTTTTTTGGCATTTGTAGGTGCAACCAAACAATCTCTTTCAGCGGCCGGAGGTCGATTCAGCACTACTGAATGCTGCCCCCCTAGTGAAACGTATGCTTTGGTTCTAGATGATAAGTCAAGAAGTATTGCAATGATAGCTTCCTATGAGTATTATACTATGGTGTTCTTGGGCATAATTAAACAGCATTGGCTTCATGCCCACTTCCAATCATACTCTAAGTTCTCAGATCCTAAATAAAAGACAACAATCAGGAAAAAAAGTCACATAACATTTTACTTATCAATAAAAAGTTGCATAACACTTTAATTGTTTATTAAAAGAACTAACACAAAGGAGATTAGTGGTATTCATTTTTTTGGGGGTATTTGGTGATATGCACCAAACTAATAACCCCCCCCCAAAAGTCGGTGGTTGTGGGAATCGATTCCGCTATACCAACTGAGCCACCCCTCAGTTGGCAGATAGTGGTTTAGGAACTTGGAGAACAGAAGAAAGAGGAATTTTATCTTTCACCCTTCCTTTTTGTATTAGTGTTGAAGGTTTTATGTATAATGCTGAAACTTGGAGAGCGGCACATTTTATTGATGGTTTTTAAGACAGAAGTGGGATTGGCTATCTCAGTGATTTAAAAGGTGTGCCTAGGCGAACAGGCGAGGCGCATTTTTTAAAACATTTATTTTAAAATTTAAGTTTATATTTTTATTAATATTATTTTTTTTTTGAAAAGGTAAAGTAAAGATTTATTGATCAGAAGAAAGCAACCAAACTGCTCACTGTTCAAGAGAGAAGTACAAATGAGGACAGCTTAAAAAACTCAGAAAAAATTAACAGCCCCTCAAGAAGCCATAATATCCCCCTTGAAAAGCAAATTGGAGCTCAGCCACCCTCTAAGTTCATCAACAATTAAATTTTTCACTCTTTCAACCTGAAGCTGTTTCTGATCGAAGATCCTCCTGTTTCTTTCCTTCCAAATCGACCACAGCACTGCTAGAGGGATTGCTTTCCACAGGATCCTTCCCTTTCTATTCATTCCCCCCACTTTCCGGCCTTCTAAGAGAGCCTTTACTGAATTAGGCAAGCATGTAGAACAATGAATTACTTTGAGAAAATGGGCCCAGGTTGTTGCAGAAAAATCACAATGAAGAAACAAGTGGTTTGAAGTTTCTTCACCCCTCCTGCACAGCATACAGGTTACATCTGATTGCACTACTCCTTTTCTAGCCAGCATAACCTTCGTCAGACGCTTTCCTTCAGCAGCCACCCAAACAAAAAACTTTACTTTAGAGGGGGCTACACTACCCCACACTAAAGGACTGGGAAAAGAGCTAGAGGACTCAGGCACCAGACTGGAGTAGAAGGATTTTACTGAGAAAACTTTAGTCTTTGATCATTTATCAAAAAAAAAAAAACTTTAGTCTTTGACCACCCCCAAAAACACTGTTCTGGAACTAGAGGAATTAGCCTGCATCTCTGTAACCTTGAGAACAGCTCCATAATCTGCGGGATCTCCCAATCATTGAAATCTCTTCTAAAAGAGGGAGACCAGACTGAAGAGTTTCCTGAACCAACATAGCAATCCACCACCAAGGCATCTTTATCCGAAGCCAGCTGGAATAAGACGGGAAACAACTCTTTCAAAGGAGGATCAGAGCACCAAGGATCAGACCATAACTTCAAACTTACTCCATTCCCTAACTTGAACTTCAAACCTTTCTGAAAAAGAGGATAGGCTTTGTAAATCCCTTTTCCACACCCCACAACCATAAGAGAGGTTAGGCTTTGCTAGAACCCACCCATTGCTATGGAATCCATATTTCTGCACAATAACTTGACTCCATAACTCATTAGGCTCCTGCAGAATCCTCCAAAACCACTTCCCAAGAAGGGCCATGTTGAAATTCTTCACATTTCTGACTCCCAAGCTGCCAGAATTGAAAGGTTTACAGATCTGATCCTAGCTGACCAGATGAAACTTTCTGGAATCTTTCCACCCAACCCACAAGAAACCTCTCATGATTTTTTCCAATCTTAAAGCTACCTCTGCCGGTAAAGGGAACAGAGACATGAAATACACAGGAATACTGGCCAAAACACTTTTCAACAGAACTATCTTGCCACCCTTAGACAGACACCTTGCCTTCCACGAAGCTAACTTGCTGGTCATTCTTTCCACCACCGGAGACCAAATGCTTTTGGAGGTACACTTGGCCCCTAAGGGCAGTCCCAAATAGGAAGAAGGTAGAGCCCCCACCCTACAGCCCAACAAATCAGCTAGGGGTTGCAAATTACTGACCTCTCCAACAGCTATCATTTCACTCTTAGCTAGGATAACCTTTAAACCTGAAACCACTTCAAACCAATAGAGGATATTCCTGAAAGCCAAAATCTGATCAGCTTTAGCCCCACAGAAAAACAGGGTGTCATCAGCGAATTGGAGAAGAGGAATTTCTTCCCCATTAGGAAATATTTCAAAGCCTGCTAAACATCCCCCCTCCACAGTCCTAGCAGTCATCCTACCCAATCCTTCCATAACAAAAAGGAATAAAAGGGGGGAGAGGGGGTCTCCCTGCCGCAAGCCCCTATAACTTTTAAAATTGCCTTTTGCCTGCCCGTTTAACAGGATTGAGAATCTAGGAGTAATAACACACCTTCATCCAGTTCCTCCACTTTTGCCCAAAGTGCATCCTCTTTAGCATGTAGTCTAGGAAAGCCCAGTTAACATAGTCGTAGGCTTTTTCCAAATCAATTTTGCACACCAGCCCCTTCTTCCCACTTCTTT